GAAAGTAAAAAGAAAATTGTGTTTTCATATCATAATGTTGCGTTTTCACACAAGGGAGGTGCATTAATTAATATTGATTGTAGTGGAGGGAAGTTAATTATAGCCACAATGGCGAGTGGTATGTTTGATATGTGTATTGTGCATGGGTGTGGGTGTGGTGAGGGGAACGCTACGTCAACGCAACGTTCCTGGTCGTCAATGCAACCACCGCCGCTTTGGAGTAGCCTACGTCCATCTACAATCTACATTGTGCGTTCCTGTTAGTAACTGTTACATAAATAAATAAGAACCATTAGCGCTATAAACTTATGGCGGTCATTGTGTTAGTGGTATGACTAAGCATGAGATGTCACTTCACCAGAGATCCTGTTCGTTTTTTCATCATTCATAGTGAAAATAAAATTCCATATTTATCTAAAATAAAGGCTGTTATTAGCAATGCTATAAAAAACTAACCTCCACTTAAATTGAAGGCATGTAGTATTAGAGATTCTTTCTAATTGTGATGAATTTTCTCTCACCTAATGCGTTTATACAATTTTCAATTTTATGTTTTCATATGATTGTGTTGTGCAGTAAATAATTTAGTACTTTCCAGCCAATAGATGTGCTGGGGTTTACGTTAATGTCGTCAATAGTTATTGATTCATATCATCCCGGGCGACAGTTACTTATATCGCTGAGGCATTGTTTAAAGGTGGTCGTATAATAAGGGTTATTACAAATTATGTTTGTGGTTTCATGCGAACATAAAATATAGTTTTATTTGTTATTCAAAGAAATAAAATTGTTACAACTTGTGAAAAACTCAAAATGTTTTGACACAATACATAGAACAGTAATATATAGAACAGGTATATATATATATATATATATATATATATATATATATTCTATATAGGAATATATAGAATATGAGTATGTTCGATATGGGAACCCCTTGTGATACGACAGATGTCAATCTTGTAGTCAAGCTCTTACCATACTCTGAAAAGAGTGTCTTGATCTATATGTTTCAAAAGCATTGGTAATCCGTTGCTGGACCTCAGGTATGCTACCTGGTAATGGTGGCGTGTACACCTTATCATTGATGTATCCCCACAAGAAAAATCATAGGAAAATGTCCGGAGAGCTTGCAGGCCAGTTCAGGAGTGTGTCATTATTCGGACCACCGCGCTCGATCCCTGAGATCGATCCCACTGATAATTATATTGTTGTTGTCATTGGTACAGTGTTTGTTGTTGTTACAGTTGCTGAAGCTGGTAGTAACGGGAGAACTACCTTGCAGCAAGGAGGAGGCTGCGGCGCTAGCTGGCATACAGTTGAGGATAGAAGAGTCCTGGGGTCCTCCCACACACCAGAACCCTCTGCTAATTATACTGTTGTTGTCATTGGTACAGTGTTTGTTGTTGTTGCAGTTGCTGAAGCTGGTAGTAACGGGAGAACTACCCTGCAGCAAGGAGGAGGCTGCGGCGCTAGCTGGCATACAGTTGAGGATAGAAGAGTCCTGGGGTCGTCCCACACACCAGAACCCTCTGCTAATTATACTGTTGTTGTCATTGGTACAGTGTTTGTTGTTGTTACAGTTGCTGAAGCTGGTAGTAACGGGAGAACTACCCTGCAGCAAGGAGGAGGCTGCGGCGCTAGCTGGCATACAGTTGAGGATAGAAGAGTCCTGGGGTCCTCCCACACACCAGAACCCTCTGCTAATTATACTGTTGTTGTCATTGGTACAGTGTTTGTTGTTGTTACAGTTGCTGAAGCTGGTAGTAACGGGAGAACTACCTTGCAGCAAGGAGGAGGCTGCGGCGCTAGCTGGCATACAGTTGAGGATAGAAGAGTCCTGGGGTCGTCCCACACACCAGAACCCTCTGATAATTGTACTGTTGTTGTCATTGGTACAGTGTTTGTTGTTGTTACAGTTGCTGAAGCTGGTAGTAACGGGAGAACTACCCTGCAGCAAGGAGGAGGCTGCGGCGCTAGCTGGCATACAGTTGAGGATAGAAGAGTCCTGGGGTCGTCCCACACACCAGAACCCTCTGCTAATTATACTGTTGTTGTCATTGGTACAGTGTTTGTTGTTGTTACAGTTGCTGAAGCTGGTAGTAACGGGAGAACTACCCTGCAGCAAGGAGGAGGCTGCGGCGCTAGCTGGCATACCGTTGAGGATAGAAGAGTCCTGGGGTCGTCCCACATACCAGAACCCTCTGATAATTATACTGTTGTTGTCATTGGTACAGTGTTTGTTGTTGTTACAGTTGCTGAAGCTGGTAGTAACGGGAGAACTACCTTGCAGCAAGGAGGAGGCTGCGGCGCTAGCTGGCATACAGTTGAGGATAGAAGAGTCCTGGGGTCCTCCCACACACCAGAACCCTCTGCTAATTATACTGTTGTTGTCATTGGTACAGTGTTTGTTGTTGTTACAGTTGCTGAAGCTGGTAGTAACGGGAGAACTACCCTGCAGCAAGGAGGAGGCTGCGGCGCTAGCTAGCATACAGTTGAAGATAGAAGAGTCCTGGGGTCGTCCCACACACCAGAACCCTCTCATAATTATACTGTTGTTGTCATTGGTACAGTGTTTGTTGTTGTTGCAGTTGCTGAAGCTGGTAGTAACGGGAGAACTACCTTGCAGCAAGGAGGAGGCTGCGGCGCTAGCTGGCATACAGTTGAGGATAGAAGAGTCCTGGGGTCGTCCCACACACCAGAACCCTCTGATAATTATACTGTTGTTGTCATTAGTACAGTGTTTGTTGTTGTTACAGTTGCTGAAGCTGGTAGTAACGGGAGAACTACCCTGCAGCAAGGAGGAGGCTGCGGTGCTAGCTGGCATACAGTTGAGGATAGAAGAGTCCTGGGGTCGTCCCACACACCAGAACCCTCTGCTAATTATACTGTTGTTGTCATTGGTACAGTGTTTGTTGTTGTTACATTTGCTGAAGCTGGTAGTAACGGGAGAACTACCCTGCAGCAAGGAGGAGGCTGCGGCGCTAGCTGGCATACAGTTGAGGATAGAAGAGTCCTGGGGTCCTCCCACACACCAGAACCCTCTGCTAATTATACTGTTGTTGTCATTGGTACAGTGTTTGTTGTTGTTACAGTTGCTGAAGCTGGTAGTAACGGGAGAACTACCCTGCAGCAAGGAGGAGGCTGCGGCGCTAGCTGGCATACAGTTGAGGATAGAAGAGTCCTGGGGTCGTCCCACATACCAGAACCCTCTGATAATTATACTGTTGTTGTCATTGGTACAGTGTTTGTTTTTGATGCAGTTGCTGAAGCTGGTAGTAACGGGAGAACGACCTTGCAGCAAGGAGGAGGCTGCGGCGCTAGCTGGCATACAGTTGAGGATAGAAGAGTCCTGGGGTCGTCCCACACACCAGAACCCTCTGATAATTATACTGTTGTTTTCATTAGTACAGTGTTTGTTGTTGTTACAGTTGCTGAAGCTGGTAGTAACGGGAGAACTACCTTGCAGCAAGGAGGAGGCTGCGGCGCTAGCTGGCATACAGTTGTGGATAGAAGAGTCCTGGGGTCGTCCACACACCAGATACCTCTGATAATTATACTGTTGTTGTCATTGGTACAGTGTTTGTTGTTGTTACAGTTGCTGAAGCTGGTAGTAACGGGAGAACTACCCTGCAGCAAGGAGGAGGCTGCGGCGCTAGCTGACATACAGTTGAGGATAGAAGAGTCCTGGGGTCGCCCCACACACCAGAACCCTCTGATAATTATACCGTTGTTGTCATTGGTACAGTGTTTGTTGTTGTTACAGTTGCTGAAGCTGGTATTAACGGGAGAACTACCCTGCAGCAAGGAGGAGGCTGCGGCGCTAGCTGGCATACAGTTGAGGATAGAAGAGTCCTAGGGTCGCCCCACACACCAGAACCCTCTGATAATTATACTGTTGTTGTCATTGGTACAGTGTTTGTTGTTGTTGCAGTTGCTGAAGCTGGTAGTAACGGGAGAACTACCCTGCAGCAAGGAGGAGGCTGCGGCGCTAGCTGGCATACAGTTGAGGATAGAAGGGTCCTGGGGTCCTCCCACACACCAGAACCCTCTGCTAATTATACTGTTGTTGTCATTGGTACAGTGTTTGTTGTTGTTGCAGTTGCTGAAGCTGGTAGTAACGGGAGAACTACCCTGCAGCAAGGAGGAGGCTGCGGCGCTAGCTGGCATACAGTTGAGGATAGAAGAGTCCTGGGGTCCTCCCACACACCAGAACCCTCTGCTAATTATACTGTTGTTGTCATTGGTACAGTGTTTGTTGTTGTTACAGTTGCTGAAGCTGGTAGTAACGGGAGAACTACCTTGCAGCAAGGAGGAGGCTGCGGCGCTAGCTAGCATACAGTTGAGGATAGAAGAGTCCTGGGGTCCTCCCACACACCAGAACCCTCTACTAATTATACTGTTGTTGTCATTGGTACAGTTTTTGTTGTTGTCGAAGTTGCTGAAGCTGGTAGTAACGGGAGAACTACCCTGCAGCAAGGAGGAGGCTGCGGCGCTAGCTGGCATACAGTTGAGGATAGAAGAGTCCTGGGGTCGCCCACACACCAGAACCCTCTGATAATTATACTGTTGTTGTCATTGGTACAGTGTTTGTTGTTGTTACAGTTGCTGAAGCTGGTAGTAACGGGAGAACTACCTTGCAGCAAGGAGGAGGCTGCGGCGCTAGCTGGCATACAGTTAAGGATAGAAGAGTCCTGGGGTCGTCCCACACACCAGAACCCTCTGATAATTATACTGTTGTTGTCATTGGTACAGTGTTTGTTGTTGTTGCAGTTGCTGAAGCTGGTAGTAACGGGAGATCTACCTTGCAGCAAGGAGGAGGCTGCGGCGCTAGCTGGCATACAGTTGAGGATAGAAGAGTCCTGGGGTCGCCCCACACACCAGAACCCTCTGATAATTATACTGTTGTTGTCATTGGTACAGTGTTTGTTGTTGTTGCAGTTGCTGAAGCTGGTAGTAACGGGAGAACTACCCTGCAGCAAGGAGGAGGCTGCGGCGCTAGCTGGCATACAGTTGAGGATAGAAGAGTCCTGGGGTCGTCCCACACACCAGAACCCTCTCTCTCCCGACGACCCCAATACCCTCAAGCCAATCTCAGAGGATAAGGTAACGTATTCTGCTTATTTTAACAAATTTCTTACTTTTTTTAAAATGGTTATACAACCATTCTTTTCCTGCTTAAATTATCTATTTTGAATACACATTTGCAATCTGTTGCAGTAATGAAAATAACCCTACCACATCAAACCTGTAGACCTGGCGAATCTCCGTTTACCTAGTTTGGTTAATTTATTTTGATGAATATTATTTTTTTAAGAATACCTTGATTACGAATTTTTTAAACAAATAGTATGTTATTTGGTAGACAACTGACTACATTATGTCACCTGGATTTGTTTTTTGTCCCTCCCAGTTTCACTTCAAGCCAACGAAGAAAAAATCGGAAATCGTCACATGATTGCAAAACTTATTTCATTCATTCATTCTGCCAGACTAAACTTATCTATCTTTCATAGGATTTTTAAAAATTGGTTCCTTACGAAAAACTAGGGTGATCTTCAATTATCAGATTACGCAATAATTTGAGGTTCCTCATCAGCTGCTATTTATTGCAACTCGGATTTTAGATTCTAAATATTGTTCTTTGGCAGTAAAAATTCGTCTTTAATTGAACGAGGTGTTAGCCCGTCCTACGTACGGGAATTCAGTTAGTCAGTTAAAACCGTGTACAATTCAGATCAGCTAGTTTTTACACATATAAAGACAAAGTTTCTTGCAGTGTTAATGTGAAAAATCATCTTGTAAACATATGTTGTGTGACAAAATATGTTTTATTCCATCATAGGCCTATACGATAGGTATGCATTTCAAATCCGATAATTTTACAATAAAACAGCAATTCTGCAATTTTTACGATGTGAAAAGCGTTGAAGTGAGATTGGCAGACGATTCGCACAGACGCACACTGATTATAAGTAGCCTACAGTAGAGAGAGTAATAGTCAATTGAGAAGTGTATAGTTGTGTAGACCTTGTCAACGATACCACCATCCATAGCATACCTGCCTCTTCCATAATTATTATCCCCACAATACAACTACTATACACAATTTCCAGTAGGTCTGAATAGAAACAACCTAAAATAAAACGATACTTTCCAATAATATTCACGGTACACATAATTTAACTTTGGTGACCTAACATCAAAACTAATCGTCACACCTATCCTTTATATAAATTTCACTGCATTAATTGCTAAATAAATAAGTGTAAACAAAGAAAAGTAAAAACAATAACAGTTTGGTAATTTAAAATCGTGATTCCTGATTATTCTTGATCTTTTTTTTATGACATCAATATTTCCGGGCCTAATCCAAACAAAGTTAAAGCAGACAAACATGAATTGTAAACAAAAAGCTACAATGAAGAATTTAAAACACGTAAACATTGTTATTTTTCTATTATTTCCTTGAAAAGTGGAGCAGTAAAATAATTTGCATTTTTCCTTTTTTATTAAGACTCGTGTACAGAGCCTCGATTTGTACTGTGGTTTTATTAATTTTGGTCTACAGTATTTTAAACTGTGTTCTACTAATCTTACTTATTTCCTATAATCAATGACAAAATAAGAGTAAATAAAATAACCTCATAGTTCCATAGTTTATATTTAACCAGCTGTTAGTAAAAACAAATTATATTTCTCTAAAACAAATCGAAGATTACAAAGATTGCTTTAAAAAATAATTTGAACATCGGAGTATTTTACCATGTATATTTAATTAATCTGTCATCCTCTTACAGAAGAATTGAACGTAATAATGATTAGCGTTACACATAGTATAAATAAGTCAACCCTAAGTATGTCTTTACATTTTTATCCAAATGCTGAATTTGTGACACAAAAGCTGAATGTTTACAGCTGTTATGTTAAACAAATTATTTTATGCCAAAAGCTAGTTTAGAATCTTAGCGTCGGCTGCTAGACTTTTTAAAAATTAAAACTTAATTTCTAAAAAACTGGGACCTTAAACTAAAATTATGGCTTCGACATTCCCTAGTTCTCAAAATTATCTTTCTTTCAACACAAAAATCATGAAAATCCGTCGAGTGGTTGATTCAGAATCGTGAAATAAAAAACACTGTTTCGTTTTAATATTATAGATTGCATCTAAACATGTGTTTAGTACAATAATGTACAAGGTAGGTATAACTATTTGACATTATTTTTGTAAAAAATTACTCTGTTTAGAACATAACCACAAGTATAGTGAAACACGCGTAACTATTTTGCTGTTTTTTAATTTAATACCTCATTGTTTCAATTATAACAATAAATTCGACTAAACTTTTCAGCAACTCAACACATTACACATTTTTGTGTGTTTATTCTCCACAATCAATGTCAAGGATTTAGAACTGTAATATTCCTGAAGAATACATCGACCTCCGGGGACAGCTAATTGCTCTTGTAAAGTTAATGGCACTCTGTAACACAACCCCATTACAGGTCCCATCATCAGTGTGTGGACAATATGTGTGAAATAGATTTGGAAATGTAAGAGAGGCCACTATTTGGTATTATCATATATTATATTCACAATGGATGCAATACTTTGAATATCGGTTTAAGAAATATATTTTTGATCCTTACACGAATATGGGTAAAAACTTTAAACACTAATTTATTTTGTGTAAACCTATCGCACAAGTTTAAAAGCTGAATTGTTTAAACCTGTTTGTTTAAACTTCAGCTTGCAATAAATTTATGAAACCTTATACAGTAGACGTTTTAAAATAAGATTCATTGTTTATTTGTGAATATTAAACGAACGTTTCGTATAGTACTCAAAACAAAGATTTATAAGCAGCAAGTATAACGTCACTAACACATTGACAAATATTTTAATCAAACTGCCATCATTTTGTCTCTATAAAAATATTGAACTGGGACATAATGGTGCTCTGTTCAACAGTTATAAACACAGATCATTCCAAATCATTATAATTAGGCCTACTCCTATATAATATAATTTTAACAACCTTATGGACATTTAATATTTATTTTTCATATTTTACAAATGTTACCCTTTTTATGAAGTATAAAAATTTAAAGGTTTGTATGGTAAAGATAGGAAACCTCGTACAAGCAATATAATATTTAGATTGGTGAATCGTTTTTAAATAAAATCTGCAATTTTCAGTATCAGAAAGAAAGCGAATCAAACATTTATTTTTTCTAAAGTACTGTATTATCAACGAAGTATAAACGCCCAAAGTTTTATTTTGTAATACCATAATTTTATTTATAACATGTCAGGGAGCTTTTTCGTAGTTTACTCGATGCTTTACTATTTTAATTTTTTTTTATTTATACTTCTCCATACTTCCACTAAACTAAAGACGTTTTAACTCTTCTGGTCTTAACCCTTTTCTAAAAACGTTTCAAACACTGCTGAATGTATTTAAATCTAATGTATGTAACACAATGTATGTAACTATTTCTTTACATGTTGTTCATATACAGTTAGCGAGTATCAGGCGTTTGTACGTGCACAGGTTTATTTGGGTACCGCACAACACGATGAGAGGGTAAATTATACTAAAACAAACAAAACGGAAAATCCAGGTCAACCAACGTGAGATAAGACAGTTGTACTGGGAGGATATTATTGCAAATATTGAGTTAACATTGAAAGTATCTATATATTAATAGGCAAGCATGTTTCTTTAAAACTTTTTTTCTCAGCTCGTGTGCATCGTAGGGAAAATTTACGCATACTATTATAAAGATATTTCCCTGTAGATGTGCAGAATCACTTTATAAATGAAAATAGACTCAAACATAAGCACAACACATGAAATTAAATTATATAAAAAACATTGGCCTTATGGGTTGCTATGCTGGTGACGAGATAACAACACAATTATAAACAGAAAATCAAAACACATGAAAGAAATTCCAATCGCCAGTTTTATTTACTGTACAGCGTGGGGTGAAAAGTGCTCTCTGGGTGAAAATAGAGAAGTCTGTACATAACATATTTTTGGTCGATTTTTTGACCACTGGACGACCTCTAGTAATTAATTATGAAGGTGATCACAAAAATGCTTTAACTTTTTTTAATTGTCTTATTATCTAAGTGAAAAGCATATTTATTTTCATGCTATTTTTTCCAATTGAGGTATAATTTGAGTTCCATTTAACTGCATCACTACCTGACCAACCTTTAGATACCTGTGAGAGCTTGTATTTAATACAAATGTTAAAAATCCCTCAATTTATCCAGGAGATTACAAATTGAACTGAGTCACTGTTCGCTAATATTACTAAACAATCTTTATTTAACGCCAGATTGGCACAATAAAGAGTTGCAGATCTTTGAGCAATCCCCAGAGACAACTGACTTTGACACGGTGTCACATCCAGACTATTATTACTGATCCATCTGTAGCTAACACCATATTAGACGAGCACACTGTAGGCATATTGATACACAGTTGTGGGTAATCTAACTAATGAACTTGATTTACAATACCGCTAATTAGCCCTTTAATTATACATTATTAAATGATTTGTAATCAAGGTACACGTTATGAAAGCCATTATCTGTAAATTAGTTGTTGAATTACATTTGTAAACCGTCTGCAACAATTCCAGAATTAATGTGTGTAAACAAACAATCACTTTCTATGTACTTAAAATTGTTAAAACATCAGATATCATTAAAATGTATTATTTGTTGTAAAATGTTCACTCGGTAATTATATTACCAACTTTGTTTTGCCCATGGAAATTACATAGCGTTATTTTGTATTTGATCAAATTCTATTGATAAAAACTGAATGAAACCAACGCGTCTTCCTCCGATCTGTGTCTTTAGGAAAGTTGTTTAGGGTTTCATGAAAATTTAAGATTTTTGCTGTTATTTATGAAAAATGTATTTCAGGGGTTTTATTTGACTATCGGCTTATGTTTGTTCAGAGTTTCACCTATAAAGCAAATTTGTGTACCAAAGATAAGTAACAAGACATGCACGTGTGTCGTGACATTACTCCACTATATTAATATATGGGTGTCATTTTGCAGCCCACATGCAAAAGGACTAT